TTATTCCTTTTGGTGGTATCCCACATGAATCTTAGGCTTTCTTCATTTTGTTTTGATCTTTTTTTCTGATTTATCCCCTTCTAAAGAAGTGTTCAGGTATTTGCCTTCAATCTCCCTAATTCTGTCTTCCATTGATTCAATTCTGCTTCTTTGCCCATTCAATGTCTTATCTATTTCTGAAAATTTCATATTAATCTTCTGGATTTCTGGGTGTAGATTTTGTACCATTTCTAATTTTTCATTTATTTTGTCATTTTGTTCTTGTATTGTCTTTTGAAATTGTTCTACAGTTTTCTCTGTGTTTTCCTTGATCTGTCTCTCAATTTTTTGAAGATACTTAAAGATAATTCTTTTCAATTCCTTATCAAGGAGTTCCAATGCTGCATCTTCCTCAGGGATGTGTTTTGGATCTGTATCTTGGTCCCTTGTTTTTCCAGCTTTATCTTTCTTCTTTGTGTGGACTGTGATGCTTTGTTATCTCCAAGGCATTGTGATGTTTTTGTATTTATATTTAATTGGTGATTGTACGTTGGAGTGACTTGCTCATGATTTTCATTTTCTTTGTTTTGTTTGTATGTTATCTATACAAGCAGGGTACTGTGCTCCTCTATTCACTAGTTGACAGCACTTATATGCTCACCACCTGTCTCCTTTCCTGTTGTCAGCCTCTTGTATGTCCCTGCCAACTTTGGCAAACAGAGACTATTCTTAGGTCCCTGGAATCCGAATGAGAATGCTATCACTTTAAAATCCAAAATGGTTGCCACTTTTAAAGATTCAAAATGGCTGCACCCTCAGTCACTTTAAATGGCCACTATTTGTAAACATTCAAACTGGGTGCACCCTCGATCACTTTAAATATCCAAAATGGCTGCCATGTGTAAACAATCAAAATGGCTGCACTCTCCGGACAGCAGAAAGTCAACAGCTCAGGTTGTCTCTTTCTTTGCTGTTTCCCTTCCTAGTCATAGGCCACCAGTGCAGTTGTCCCTGCAGCCCTTGGCCACCAGGGCTGATTTTTAGGTCAATTCTCAGGTCCCAACACCACTTGGAAATATTCAGGCTGTTGGTCCCATCAGAGTAGCTGATGGTCCGCAGCTCTGATCATCTCTGTACTCACTGTTTTTGTTCAAGTTTTTCCACTAGTTGGTGCCTAATCCACTTCAGTATAGTTCCTATCAAAGCTCAGGGCTCCATGATTATCTTCTGTATCTCTTGTCAATTGGTTTTTCTTTTCTTTGTTGAAGAGGGTCTGTGTCGCTTGTCTGCCTATTCATACTCCATCTTCAAGGCCATAAATCTTTAAGAAGCAGACTACCTCATCTTTCTCCTATGGAGCAGCTGATGGGTTCAAATTACTGACCCTTTGGTTAGCAGCTGAATGCCTTAACAACTACACCACCAGAGCTCCGAAGACCAGGAAGGTGGGCACCAAATCAGACAGGAGTTCAGATTATTATTATTATTATTATTATTTTCCTATTTCCTAGACGGATAGATGAACTCTACCTGCCCAAGTTCTCCATCTCCAGCAACTACAATCTGGAAGACGTACTTCCCCAGCTGGGCATGAGGGAAGTCTTCAACAAGCAGGCTGACCTGTCAGGAATCACAGGGGCCAAGAATGTGATGGTTTCCCAGGTAAATCTTTAAACATTGGGCAACTCATCCAATGTATCTGACCTTGAATGTTGAAGGCCAGGTGGACATTTGGGAAATAGTATTTGTAAATAATTATATTTCTCATTGTCTGATCACCCTCCATGCCCCGCCCCAAGACCAGGACACTGCTACTGTGTTTGGAGGCTGAATCCCAGCTCCCCTGTAATATAATGTGACACAGATGCCTGTCATGGAAAGAACCTGGTTTTGGATCCCATGCCACATGCCACCATTTACTACTGCTGGTGGATAATGAAGTCCTCCACCCCTCAGTTTCTTCTGTAAAATGGAGGTGATAGTTCTTAGCTGGTATGTAGTTCCTAGCACGGCTGGTAGCAGGCAATACTGCAATGACTATATGAAGATTGAAATGAAACTTCATTCAGAGTTGGAAACGGCAGACGGCATAGCTAGGAGCAGCGCAGTCAGAACAGAGGGCCACTGGGTCATGCTCCACTCTCCTCTGTGCCGTGTGCTCACACCCAGGGCATTACATTGAGTTATGCACTCACATTCCAAAGGGGCATAAGGATGGGTGGGGTTTGTGCTAGGAGGGGCCTCAACTGGCTCAAAGCCACATCCTATGAAAAGTGGTCAATAGCCCCAAGATGTTTAAGTTGGAGAGAGAGAGATGCAGAAAGTGATGCTGGCCCATCTGAGGAAGTGTGTGCATCTCTGCATCACCATGGAGAGCTGGAGTGAAGCTGATGCTCAAAGGCCTTGCGTTGTGCTTGCCCCTTCCCTACACAGGAGTGGGTGTTTGTGTGGGAGGCATGACAGACTCTGGACTCAGAGAAGGATCCAGATCCGACTGGCCCCACTCTTTGCCTATGTGGCTCTGAGCAAATCATTCCCAGGCTCTGAGCCTCAGCTTGCACATCTGTGCAAACTAGTGGGCAGGGCTGGTGGCAGGAACGACCATACCAAACAAGGAAAACGGTACCGTTATGAGCCAGTAGTAGACACAGTAGAGGCAGGATAAATGTTCACCCCTGAGTCACCCTAAGCCAGGATGCATGCCTCCTGCCCAACCCCACCCTTGTCCCTGGTGGGTGATGCTCTGGTGTCCCCACAGGTGGTCCACAAGGCTCTGATTGATGTGAGTGAGGTGGGCACAGAAGCAGCTGCTGCCACAGGAGTGAAAATCACCCTCTTATCTGGAAGAATCGACCCACTGATTGTGCGTTACAATAGACCTTTCCTGGCGGTCATCATCTCTGGAGACGAAGGGTTCATCCTCTTTATCAGCAAAATCTTCAACCCTAAGGAAGTGTAACATGCCCCGTTGAGTTATGGGGCTCCCCACCAGGTACTCTGTCTCTGAGTGCAGCCTCTGTGCATGGAGCACCTGGGGCATGGTGGGCCCACTCCTTACCTGTCTGTTCATCCTTAGGAAGGCAGCAGTAACTGTGTGGCAATGACCCTATGCATGTGGTCTGGCATGCACAGGGAGCCATGGACTGTTCAATGCAGAGGCTCCAAGGCCTCCTGGAACAATAAATCATCTCCCTGTGATCGGACACTTTTCTTGTGCCTTTCTGCTCTGACCCTCCTGACTCCACACCCTTGGAACTATCTGTGTCCCAAAGTGAAGCCCCCTGACCATCTAAACAGGCTTGACCCACACCAGCTCTGGGCCTCTGGCTCACTCTATCTAACAGAGCCCACTGACATAGTTATGATAGACTGCTCATTGGAGCTTCTCACCTGTATGCTGTCTTCCAAACACCACGTTTTTGCCCCAAAGTCTCTGTAAATGAAATAAAATGTAATTCACTATTTAAATTAAAAATAAAAAATGCACGGATGAGTGGGAAGCCAACCACAGGAATTGGGAGTGCTTCAGCATCCTTCCGGGTTAAAGACAGGACAGTGAGGACTTTAAGTCATGTTGTCACAGAGGTGAGGGAGCTCCCCTCAGATGACTCTGATATCCCCTGTGTTGTGGAAGAGGTGGTACCTGCTGAGCTAATCACGGAGTAGCAAAAAGCCAGAAGTCTGAGGAGGGCAGGCAAGGAGAGAAGACATCCAGGACCTCCAAGTTCTAACAGCACAATTAAGGATCTCTTTGATCCTTATTGAACATTGGAATTGGTGCTGTGTAGTACAAAGTCTTTACACATGAACACTAGTCTAAAGGTTGGCAGTTTAAACCCACTTCATGGTAGAAAGTCCTGGTGATTTGCTTCCATGAAGATTAAACATCAAAACAAGAAATAAACCTGTTGCCATTGAGTCAATTTTGACTCTTAGCAGCCCTATAGGACAGAGTAGAACTGCTCTGTAGAGTTCCCTTGGCTGTCATCTTTATGGAAGCAGAGTGCCACAGCTTTCTTCTGTGGGTTGAAACCACTGACCTCTTGGTTGGCAAATGAGCACTTACCCACCAAACCACCAAGGCTCCTTCCATAGAGATTACAGCCAAGAAACCCCTATGGAGTAGTTCTCTGTAACATATGGGGCAGCCACAAATCAAAATCAACTTGACAGCAACATGTTTGGTTTGGGGGACTGGACATATGTCACTAGCCTGTACAGGTGTGTGGTTTCTAGGAATACTTATCAGGCCACACAGACACACAAGGAGGACAGACTGCTCAATGCTACTGAAGCCACTGTTTCCCCTGGTTACAGGCCTGGAGGAACCAGGAATGGCTGGCACATAGGAAATATGAATATATTTGAAAACAGTGACCAGATAGTCATTTAGATGATGGATTTTTTATATTCCACGATGGAGAAATTAGCAAGTGATGACAGAAGGGGCTGCTGGGGAAAAATGAGGTATCCAGAAACGAGATGGTACTTGGAGGTTTAAGAGAACATGTAATGGGATGCTCTATACACAGGCACATCTCATTTTACTGCATTTTGCTTTATTGTGCTTCACAGATACTGTGTATTTTACAAATTGAAGATGTGTGGTCCCCTGCATCAGTCTATTGTGCCATTTTTCCAACAGCATGGGCTCCCCTTGTGTCTCTATGTCACATTTTGGTGATTCTCACGCTATTTAAGACTTATTCATAAAGCTATTGGACACATGGGAGCTCTGGTAGTGTAGTGCCCAAGACATTTGACTACTAACCAGACGCCTGGCAGTTCAAACCCACCAGCCACTCTTTGGAAGGAGGGTTGGGCAATCTACTTCCGTAGTGATAATGTCTCGGAAACCCAAGGAGGAATTGCTATGAGTCAGCTCCGACTCCATGGCACATAACAAAAACAACAACATTGAACACTTAATAGGCTACAGTATAGTATAAACATTGCTCTCATCTGCACAAGGAAACCCAAAGCTTTGTGCTACTCACTCTATTGTGATATTCATTTTATTGCAGTGGTCTGGAACCAAATCCACAATATCTCTGAGATATGCCTGCATTGCTAGAAGGCTTACACTTTTCCAGCAACACCCATTTCATACCAATGTACCAGTGGGGGAGTGGAAGAGTCACAAATTCCACACACTTCTTGTCCTCCTTCTGCCTTCCCAGAGCCTTTCCCCCTGCTCCAGTTCCCCTCTGTGACGTTGGAGGCAGCAGACCTGAGTAAAAGTCTTGGTTTGACGTTTAATAGTTGCGTGACCTTAGCCAAAATACCCAATGTCACTGACTCTCACTGACCCCGAACTGAAATCATCTGAGAACACCCACTCTGTGGGGGCAGTGTCAAAAAAGGTACCGATAAGCATGATGTTGTCTTAGCTGCCATCAAGTCAGTTCCAACTCATGGTGACCCTGCGTACAACAAAAACACAGAACACATGCCAAAGAACTGATGAGGTTCCACAACCCCTGCTCTAGAGACCCCATCCTTGGCCCCACCAGAAACCCGCTTCTGACATCTAAGTGTGTCCCCTGCAGTCCCCACAGGTGCTGCACAAGACTGTGATTAGCATGGTTAAGAAGGGCACTGAAGCAACAATGGCCACAAGAGTCAAGTGGTTCCTTACCTCCACAAAGGGAGGCTGACTCCCCATTGTACCCTTCCATAGCCCTTCCTGATGACCACTGTCTCCCTCAAATACCCAGAGCAAATGTAGAGTCTGAAAAACACCACATAATATGGATGAACTTGGAGGACAGTATGCTGTCAGTCCCAATGAGGAATAAAACAAATTTCAACTATCAAAGCAAACTGGAGTTACTGTTCTCAAGCTGGCTCTAACTCAAATTCAATATATGATAGAAGGAAATGTTATAATATAGATATAATTCTCTGTTATATATAACAATAATATGGTTTATATAATAATAATATGTTATAATATAACATAGGTGATGCTCTATATAATAGAAGGAAATATTATCCAGTCCTGAACCATCTTCATGCCAACACTGTATTATATATAGTGTTACTATAGTCTGTGGTGATCCATAAGGTTTCCACTGATTGATTTTCAGAAGTAGGTCACCAGATCCTTCTTCTTGTCTTACTCATTCTAGAAGCTCTGCTGAAACCTGTCCACCGTGGGTGACCATGCTGGGATTTGAAATATATTCCAGCATTATGCAAACATTCAAGTCACCACAGTACAATAAACTGACATACAGGAAAACTGTAGCGTACTATTCAGTGAGATGGGGAACATAGGAGGAAAACAATGCTTCATGAGGGAGATGATGAGATCAGATATAGATGCAAAGAATCTGATATGCCTGACCATCATCCATAAAGAGAACAGTAAGCAGTTGGTTCTATGGATATATAGTTCAGTAGGGAAATTTGAGCTGAGAAATGAAGATGTGTTAAGTGATGGGAAAGAATGAGATTTCATTGTGATTGCATAGAGAAGAGCAGCTGGAAGACAATCTTCAAGAACCACAATGAGGTGATGAGAAAAAGGAGAGAGGTCTCTGAAAGAGGAAAGAACTAGGAAAGGAGAGAGGAGGAAAACAGTAGCAAAGACAGGAAGAAACACTCGAGTGTCCAGAGTGTGGACTGGACACACCAGTGGAGGTCTGTGGTGACCCTGCAAGAATGTCTGTAACTGAGACATGAGAGCAGAAATCAGATGGAATGGGCTTTCAGTGAGGTTGAGTGGTGAACAGGACTACAGCAAGTGTAGGCATTTCTTTCTAGCAATTGGTCATCAAAAGAAATGAGAAGCAGGGGGGAGCTGGAAGGGGAATTTTAGTACCTGGAGTGGGGTGCTGCTGTTACAAAAATGTAAAACGTGTGTTACTGGCTTTGATACAAGACAGTGATTAAATTGGGAAGGGCCTTGAGGAGAGTGTTAGTGAGGGCCTAAAGGCTTCAGGGGAATGCCAGTAGAAGCTAAAGAGTCTTCTGGAAGCTGCTGGAGAGGGCTTAAGGGAAAGCAGTGCACATGTTACTAGAAGCTTTAATGAAGGAGACCTTGTGATGCCTACAGAACCTCTAAACATAGGAAATAGGAAATAGGAAATAGATTTAATGAACTCTGGACAGAGTGATAAAAGTGACTCCTGGCTTTCTCTAGTGGTCCAAATAAAATGAAAGAGGGGCGAGATAAGCCAAAGAAGTCCTGGTTAAATATAAAGAAGTCAGAACATGCTGGGTTCAGAAATGAAACTCTTTTTTTAATGCATTTTATTGAAATATAATTTATGTGCAGTGAAATACACAAAGCTAAAGTGACATGGGTCAATGCATTTTTTTTTTTTTTTCAGTGTTCCCTTCCCTCCCCTCCCACCCTTGGCAACCAACAAAGAAAGTTTCTCTCCATATCCATATAAAAACCTTTCCTTGACCCTCTGCAACAATGAACTAATACTATATTTGTCCTTCTGTGATTGACTTATTTCACTCAGCATACTGTCCTCCAAGTTCATCCATATTATGTGGTGTTTTTCAGACTCTACATTATTCTTTAGTGCTGCGTAGCATTCCATAATGTGTATGTACCATAGTTTGGTCATCCACTCTTCTGCTATAAATCTTAGAGATAAGTCCCTTGCCAGATACGTAACTATCAGCAAATATGAATTTGTTGCTGTCATTTGTGTTATGTGCTTTTTCATGGTGTCAATTTCTTTGTCCCATATAATTTTCTATGCTGAGCTCATTTTGTTTATGAATTGTGTTATCACTTCCTTCATTGCTATTGTTTTAGTATTTGCTGAATATTTATGCTAGTCCTCTTTTTTGATCTGAAGGTTTATCATTTTTCTTGGAGGTTACCCTGTGATTTATAGTTTTCTTCCCAAGTTTAGAATAGTCTGTTCTATCTTGTAGTTGTCTTGACTTCCCTACCATCTAGAAGTTCTGTAATGACACAGTTTTTTCCCTCTT